GAGCAGGAAAGCTTGAAATACCTACCAAAACACTTGAATACAGACATACTGTAAGTATGAAAATGCTCTGTGCAGGTGTTAATCAAGTTAAATCCCAACAGCCAATCAGCAAGAAATGCTCTGTGCAGGTGGAAATGCTCTGTGCAAGTGTTAATCAAGTTAAATCCCAACAGCCAATCAGGAAGAAGAATAGAGGAAAGCTGCATGCCTATTGGTTGATGCCCTGCATTCCATTGTGATGACTCATGCCCAAACGTGGTACACAGCACAGTAATACATTTGCTATAACACAGCCAAAAAGCTTAAATAAAACCATTCTAAAAGCCTGTATCACCAAAATTTAAAAAACGCCTGGGGGTATTTGCCCACTGTACCTCCATACCAAATTTCAGGTCCTTAGGCCCCAAAATGAAGAAGCTGAATCCATTTAAAAAATGGCAGGAGGAGGAGAAGGAGAAGGAGAAGAAACATCAGAAAAAGCAATATGGTTTCACCACACCACTTCGTGGTGGTGTGGTGAAGCCATAATAATAGTCTTTTTACCCAACACTGTACATTTGACACACTTGATCATTTGGGCCTCATACTTAGCTGACCATTCGGGAGCAAGTCAGCAGTTTTCGGGTTGTATTCGGTAGTCAAATTCGACTCAAACTTAAGTCAAATTCGATTCTTTCATAAAGGTAGCCGTGGCCTAAATTTAATTCAAGTTGCTCCCGAACGTCAACCGAACTTGGTCAATTCAAACACTGTTCGGGGGCAAGGTCGGACGAAGGTTCTGAATGTATGACAGGGGCTTTAAGTAGCAACTTCGGCAGCAAAGTTGTGAGAATCTCCTGAATGTACGACATGGGTGTTTTATATTTAAGTTATGATTGCTTGACTTAGCGGCACATAAAGTATACCGCAAAATATTGTAAAGCCTATATGGACAAATATAAAGAGCAAAGCCTGCAGAGTTTCAGGCAGTAGCTACACAAATTTCACCATCCCATTCGCATATCTTGTCAGTACAACTGTGCAGCTTTCGTGCTCGTAAGCGTAATGACCTTGACATTAACCAATAGGTTGACCCTTTTTTCACCCCGAAAATATAAATAGCTGCTGTCGTACTTTTGTTGCTTGATCGATGGCTTGATTGATTGCTTGGCGAAGTATAAAAATGTCAGAAACGGCCACATTGGCAATTACTGATTGCTTTATATGGGGGTAATAAAAGTCTTATTGTTGAGAAGATCTTAAAGATAATAAAACACGGCAATACAGGCCATTCATCTTTCCGAAGAAACAATGTAATCTCGTCGTTGCGTTACTTGGACATTTTACCTGGTCCTGTTACTTGGACTAGTTAGAGCTTGGCTACAATAGCAATTGCACCCGACGAGACAAAACAGTTACTTATTAGGTTCAGATGTCTAAAGGCTGATATTTGTTTTGCGGGCTAGTCAAATAACAACGTTTGCATGGCAATAGCTCGGCTTTGCCATGGAACACTTACCTACTGAACGTGCGGAATTCTGTAGTTCACTAGTTTTACCATATGTACATCGTGCCTCGTACGTCAAAATGGCGAATTTATCGGCGGTTGGGATGTTACGGTATTTGACTGTTCTGGCTGTTTTGTCTGGGACTGTTGAGGGATTTCTACCAAACAGGCTGAGTACGCTCTATACCTTGAACGCCAACGACTACACCCATGAGGAAATAACCCAGATCGGAGTTCTAAAAGCTGCAGCCAAGTTTTTAGAAGACAACCCGCCGAGTGGGACGTCCTTTACTCCAGGGCAACTTCAGAATTTGGATCCATTCAACCCAACGACGCTTTTCACAGCCTATTATGGAGGTATGAAATCACATTTCACAGTCATAAATTTTGTCAATACTTAATATATGTGAGTGTAAGGAAGAACATTACTTTCACAAAAAACACTGCAAATTAGACAATATCAAAATTACTTTGAATTTCCCTTTATTATACAATGTACATTTTGTATGTACACGTTCTTTCACAAGGTTATTAAATGTCTCCCTCTAAACCAATTCTGAGCCATCAGGCGCAAACCTTCTAGCCAGTGAAACTCCATGCACGCATGGGTGTATAAAATCGTGTCAGTTGTGGCATGAATAAAAATAATTTCAATGCAAAGTTTAACTTCAGAAAAGAAAATAATCAAAACATTTATGTTTTAAATGTTTGGCCCAGATGTTGCGCGAGCATTTATCATCGGACAAAACCTGAACGTCGCAAGCCCGTGTGTCATAAGACGGTTTCGGCCGACTCACAGAAATGTTAAAAAAAAGCTGGGAATATTTGCAACGTTGGTTGGGTGGCATGTATATAGATATTGTAGCCGGGAAAAGTGGCGCAAGTTTATTCCCAATAGCATGCAGCTTGTTCTGAAACTGCAGAGGCATTTGTGAATCATTGTGATTTTTGGTATGTAGTCAGCCTTGACATGATTTTATGTCAATTATTCAAATTGATGTCTATTTGAGTTTTAAAGTGTGTTTTATTGAATCCGACTTGTATAGAATATATTTTATAACGGTTAAGTAAAATATATATGGAAGAAAGCAGGTAAAGACAAGATGCAATGGTTATTGATCACTATAGATCGCATTTTAGTGTGTGTGTGTGTGTGCATGTGTGTGTGTGTGCGTGTGTGTGTGTGTGTGTCTGTGTGTGTGTGTGTGTGTGTGTGTGTGTGTGTGTGTGTGTGTGTGTGTGTGTGTGTGTGTGTGTGTGTGTGTGTGTGTGTGTGTGTGTGTGTGTGTGTCTGTGTGTGTGTGTGTGGAATTCTGGAATTAATGGAGTTATGTAACAATTTTACAGAGGTGACTTCAGCAGCTAAACTCCAGTCGGCGATAACAGAGATCATTGATGCAAACTCACGGGTGGACAGTGACTACCTGTCTAATGCAGAATACCACGTTAGCGGAGAAGAAATTCAAGCAGGTGATTCTACAATTTATATTTCATATGTACCAATGATGTACACTCACATACATGCTTTCCTACCTGCCTGCCTACATCTAAGGAAAGTCATTTGCCCTTCCTTTTTTTTCTTGATGACGAATTGGAAGGGAGCTTGTTAGTGGCATAATATTGAAATTATACCAAGTCCGTGAAAAATTTCGTAAGAATTGTGAATAAATGAATAGGAGGATTCCTTATTTACAACCACCTGTTTAACAAGATCCGACGTTTAGATGACTGTCTGTCATCTTCATCAGGGTCATTGTGACTGGCTCACTATGCACTGAAGCTAGGCGTTACTGCTAACAATGCGGTCCAAAACGTAATTGTGACATGAATGGATACTGTTACAACAATAATGAGATATGCGGTTCCAAATATAAAGTATTGTAATATACAATTATGATGTTCATTTGAACGTTCTTGCCCATATTGGCTAAATGCATTATTTTCACATGAAACGTTTACATGACGAATAAGTTGTATTTATTCCCAAACAATCGGAGAAACAAAACAGTAAAAGCCATGCTTCACTACATGATTCCAAACATGATTGAGATTATCCCCCTCCACAAGAGCTCATGACTGGAGTAGATGCTGATTCATACAAATTCCTTAGATTTGACCTTAATCCAATGAATTAACCATTTGGTCTATCAGCTTGGCCCTGCCCCAGTCTATTATACGGTTATTTTTTGCCATTTTCTGTGACTTTCTTTGTTTTGTCTGTTTCTCTTGTTTCTCAGCTTCTTTCTTACTTGTTTTTGTGTACCATTGCATGTTAACGCTGACTGCATCTTTCCTATTTTTCTAATCTGCATCCAAATGTTCTTCCTATCTTACTCATGTAAACCTTATTGCAAGTTATGTAAGGTATCTTGAATACACAGCCTGTCTTCACCGAGTTTTCAAATTTGACTTCAGGATGCACCGGTGGGCTTCGTGGGGGTAATTTTAGGTTTAACAGCTGTGGCCTTTCACCTTTTAAGTTAAGAATGAATAACTGGGTTACAGCAAGCGCTGGTTTTGCTTCCTGAATATTCTCTACAGTTCTGTGACTCCAATTTATAGGGTAGAGCCCTTCTTTTTATTTTTTCCTCTTATTATAGCAAAGTTCTTTCTATCACAACCATCTATTTTTCAAGCCGACGTTTCGATGACCTTCTGTCATCTTCATCAGGGCAATTCTGACTGGTTTACTGTGCACTGACACTAGATGTTACTTGGTGCATAATGCACTAAAGGTCTTACATAGTTCATAGTGCACTGAAGCTAGTTTTTTCTGTTTACAATACATTCCGAAACGTAGTGTAATTGTGACATACATACTAGGCATTGTTACATCATAGGAAAATATGGGGTTCCAAATGTAAAGTGTTCCTATATATAATATAAGATTTGTTAACTGACAATACTGAGCTATCACAGTCCCAAATAGAAATTATTAAAAGTCTTGTTACATATGTATTGTTAGGAATCATAACAGTTACAAACAATAAGAAAACCAATGTCAGTTATTAAGAATGTGATCCCAAACATGACTAAGTTTATACCCCCCTCATCACGGTTAATGACTTGATTGGATTTTTTAATGCATACAGACTCCTTAATCCAACGGATAAATCTGTTGTCCTCTGGGTCTATTTCCTTGGCCCCGTCCCAATATATTACAGTTATTTCTTACAATGTGGTCTGTGACTGCTGACTTGTTTTCTTGTTTTTCAGCTTCTTTCTTTGTTGCTCTGGTGTACCTTCCCGTCTTGACGCTGTCTGCCTCTTTCCTATGTTCTTCTAGTCTGCATCCAAATGTTCTTCCTGTCTCCCCTATGTATACCTTCTTGCAAGTCATGCATGGTATCTTGTAAATGCAATCTGTTTTCACTGAGTCTTCAAGTTTGTCTTTGGAATGTACCAGTAGGTTTCTTGACGTAGTTCTGGGTCTGACTGCTGTAGCTATGTTGTGTTTTTTTTTAAATATTCTTTCCAGTGGTTCTGTGACTCCTTTTATATAGGGTAGATTCCTGACAATACATATGTTACAAGACTTTTAATAATTTCTATTTGGGACTGTGATAGCTCAGTATTGTCAGTTAACAAATCTTATATTATATATAGAAACACTTTACATTTGGAACCCCATATTTTCCTATGATGTAACAATGCCTAGTATGTATGTCACAATTACACTACGTTTCGGAATGTATTGTAAACAGAAAAAAAGCTTATTATAAGTGCACTGTGAACTATGTAACACCTTTAGTGCATTATGCACCAAGTAACATCTAGTGTCAGTGCACAGTAAACCAGTCAGAATTGCTCTGATGAAGATGACAGAAGGTCATCGAAACGTCGCCTTGAAAAATAAATGGTTGTGATAGAAAGAACTTTTTGCCCAATACTCAATAAATGTATGTGAATAGATAAAAGAAGCAAGTTTAAACTGTAATTTCCAGCACAAAAAGTGGAAATGGTCGAGGAAATGCTGTATTTTCCATATGAACTTATGTGTTGAAACTAAAGAAACAGATGTCTATATGTTTTCCTACAGCAAACATCCTGTTGATAACTCAGCGAAACAGCATACTAGAAATCCTGTCAGGAACACGACCCAACTTTGAAGCAGCCCGAGCGATGATTGGTGTTTACCTGCACATCTTACAAGACTTCTACAGCAACACCAACTGGGTCGAGTTGGAGGGAGGGGTTCCGTATGAAGACCTAGGTATTTATCTTTACTTATACCAAGGTGTGGTTTGATGTAGAGCTAGAGAACGGTAGGCTGTCAATCAACTTGGCTTATTTGTATTCTCAGGTTATATCCGTCAGTTGATTTTATGATCGAGTGACTCGACTAATTAGTGGCTCTAATTTTCCAGCAGCCAGACAACTTGTGAATCGCCCTTTCTTTTTCTTTTTCTCTTTTATGTTACATGGCAGTGTAATGGCTGCCTCAAATAACGAATGGCCCAGAAATTGTTTCAGTCGCGAGTTTTGGTCGAACAGGTGTATTTCAGGAGCTAATGGTGTCCTTCGTGAGTTTTTTTTCCTTGGAATTTTTTTTTTTATTGCGGCCAGTATAAGGTGTGTCTTATATTGGCACGTTCCGTAAATCAACCCACAGGAACGGTAATGACATCGTTATCTATGTGAGGTGACACCATGTAAGAATTGCTAAGAGCCTTTAGACACATAATTCCATTTTATGGCAATTACAAACTGCACTTAGCCGCCTCCCCACAAAGGCACTAGTCAAAACCCTGGACAATGCATCTCCACCCTAGCGCGCGGCTGCCAACAATCACATGCTAATCTCTTCAGTTACAAACAGGCTTTCACTACTTTGATGTTTTAGATCCGTTGGACTGGCTTAAAGAAATTCGTCATCGATATAAACTCAGCCGCTATATTTTTGGGTACTACGTACCATTTTAGAGTAACACATGAAACGACACCTTATGTCGATTATAAAGTAGTTCACAAAGATTTTAGCCAAGTACCCAGGCGGGATAACGATATCTCTCCTCCATCTGACTCTGCAGGGTTACCAGACAAAGCTCTCCGACCGATCGCCACGAACCCCGCCATTCCAACTTGCCAGGATTGCTCGTAAGTCATCTTTTATCACTATGACATCACTATTCTAACGAATCTAACGAACTTACAGACTTTTATTACACGACAATTGTAGCAGGTAGGCAATGCATTGCGACTTCTACATAGCTAGAGGTCCCGGGTTCGAGCCCTGACATGCCACCGATCTTGTGCCCTTGGGAAAGGCACTTTACACGACTTTCCTCACTTTGCTCAGGTAAAAATGAATATTGTCTTGTCATGTATTTGTCCCCTGTGTTGGTGGCGGCATTAGTTGATAAAACTTGATAGTGCCGTCACCACGTGTGGTGATTACATATTGGAGTATAAAAAAATAGCTAACAATTCTATGAAGCTAACACTGAATACACTTAATTATCTTCACTCCCACGGCACAAGGAAGCGGAGTGGGCTTGGTAAACTTTAATGTTGTAGAGATGAGAATCCGGGTGGGACGGTGGGTGGGGGAAAGATGTGCTCGACTCGGGGGCTCCAACACTCACAGCTACTCGTGAGGTCCATACAACAGGGTCATGTCAGGTTATGCTTTGGGCATGTAATTAAATGGTTTGAGCTCTCGCCCAACTACAAGTATGCTAATAGTATACCTAAGTAGTATATTAATTCTCTAATAATGTATTGCTGCATTTCGGATTTCTGTTAACGTTGTTTTCTTTCCCCCCAGGCCCAGTGGAGTCCTTGTTTGTCAATATAACATCCTTCTGCAACATCTTTTGACCAGTGGGTACAAGAGTGGGCAAAGTAAATCTAAACCATCTGGTAAGTCCATTTTTTATGAGAGTTATTTTTCTATTGTTTCTTTCAGAACATTACAATCTGGACGTTCCAATTATTGAAGCAAGTCACTCACAGACTATCAAAACCTATTACTTGATAGTGCCTGCTATTGATTACTAAATAGCATATGGCATGTGGACTTTGAGCTCAAGAAAGAATCCATGCGGAATTTGTTTTTACTATTATGATAATCTCTTCTGCAATAATCCCTGTACTTTAAGACATTGCACTGAATATGACTGCCTTTGTTCTATTTTCTAGCTATCTCTGAAACTACAGGCAAGTGCAGTCATGGCGGTTTGATGGATGACTCTAGACTTACAGTCCCGACTGGAGGAATCAACAAGGAGACGAGTGTTCCTAGTCTGTCTCCCCACCACTATCTACATGAGCAGGCGGCTCAGGCAGCCATTCAGGCAACAACCAACTTCTTCATTGCACCAGGTGAAAAGTCTTTATTACTGTTTTATTGTATGTTTTCTTGTCAAATATGTGTTTGCTTTTATGTATCATTTTGTACCCAAAGACTCGGGAAGTTATTGCTTAATCTATATTACCGATTTACTGTACGTAGGTTTACCATTAGGTCATTAAAAATGATTGTGTTAGATGTACATTCTATTGCCCCGGGTTTATTGTATAGAGGCTATTTTTGGCGTCTTTAGGAAGCAATGATTGATAGTATTATGAATGAATGAATGAATGAATGAATGAATGAATGAATGAATGAATGAATGAATGAATGAATGAATGAATGAATGAATCTTTATTACCCAACTGGCAGACTTACATCTTATATCAGTCCAAATTTTGTTGATATTTACAAAGTTTGAGTTCAGGGACTTAAGAGCAAATGTCTGTAAGGATCAAACAATGGTGGCAGGGGTCAAAAAATCGATTTGGCTCAAATTTTGCACAGTGGTAGTACTTGGCCCACAACCCCTCAAAATAGCTTTCTTTCTGCTCCACACCGATCGTTGCCATGGTAACGGGCCAAACATGTTTTGGGGCCATTTTCCCTGATTTGGGCATGTCAAAAACATGAAAATTACCAAAGTTTAGGACGCGATTACAAACAAATGCTTGAATATATCGGAAAGACAAAAACTGTGCTAAAATGACCAACTTATCTGCTTTTCTAAAATAGCTTTAAACTTTTCCAGAGGTCCGTTTAAAGGGCCTGGGCATCGCTAAGACAATACAGTGTTTTTGGCTTGTGAAATATCCCTATTTCTGCCCATTCTTGAAGCGCTGTAACTCCAAAGATGGTGATTTTTTTTCTTTCATATTGAAATCACAGATACATAATCATATGCGCTATAAAATGCATGTTTGCAGAGTTTGGCCAATTGTTTGGTTCTCACGTGGTTGTCCTCTGAAGTAGGTCATATTTTACACTTCAAGAAAAATACCAAATTTTGTCATATTTAAGATGCAATATATACAATATGAAGGCAGAAACCTAATAATGCTTTGAACAATATGTAACCCTATTGATTGTCTATCAAATGCATGCTTGTGGAGTTTGGAGTCTTGTTTTGTTGCTGTGTACTTGTCCCTGAAAGTAGGTCATTTTTGGACATTACAGAAATTAGCATAATATACGGCTGTGTTTGAAGCTATAGAAATGACGATGTAGGATTTTATTTCAATTCAATCTTTTAAGGGAAGTACATATATGCATTTTGTATCAAATGAACTTATGGAGGTTTGGGGTCTTGTGTCATTA